CCATCAGTAAGAATTTTAAGTCCTCTTCGCTTTCGGCAAGCAAGGTTGCATCATATCACAGGTTGTTCATGAGTCTTCTTCTAATCCTGGTGTCATGTTTTCATATAATCCAGCTTCTCGACTTATTTGCTCAGCATACAGATTAAACAAGTATGGTAAAAGAATACAACCCTGGTGCACACCTGTCCTAACTTTAAACCATTCGGTGTTCCCTTGTTCTGTTCGAACAACTAACTGCCTCTTGGTCTATGTACAGGTTCCTCATGATCACAATTCAGTGTTCTGGAATACTCATTCTCTGTAATGTTGTCATGATCCACACAATCAGAAGTATTTGCATAGTCAATAAAGCACAGGTAAACATCTTTCTGGTATTCTCTGCTTTCAGCCAAGATCCATCTGATGTCAGCAATGATATCCTTATCTGAATCCAGCTTGAATGTCTGGCATTCCCTGTCGGTGTGCTATAATGAAGGTGAGGATCTTGAAATGAGGTCATCCTGGATTTGGGGTGAGTCCTAAGTCCCAGTGACAGGTGTCCACAGACGAGAAAAGCTGGAGGAGGTTTGAGAGACCTAAACGCGGAAAAGACAGCTGTGTGGAGATGGAGGTGGGGAATGGAGTGGTGGAGCTACAAAAGAGCTTACCCGAGAAGGACATCTTGTTTGGTAAAAGTGGAGGAAGGCCTCCATGAGATGGACTGGCACACAGGTCACAACAAAAGACTCAAACATGCCAACATTTATGAAGATGGCTCCAGACTGGGCACTGTTTCGTTCTGTTATACATAAAACCAAAAATAACCCAAACCCATTGCCTTGGAGGTGATTTCAACTCATCACGACCCTATAGAACATCTTTGTGGAAGCAGACTGCTTCATCTTTCTCCGGTGGAGCTTCTGGGCGGGTTTCAACTGCTGGTCTGTCAGCAGCTGAGCACTTAACCTCTGCAGCATCGGAGTGCCTCTGTTAGACATAATGTCTATGGTAGGAGAGTCTGCGTGAACTCAATGGCAGGGCACACAAGGATACGCCCGTGAATGCCAAGGATTGCTGTCAGTCAGGAGAGAAGCAAGGAGAATTCGCCCCTAGAGCCCTCAGAGAGAACACGACACTCACTGCCCACACCTTGGTTTCGGACGCCTAGCCTCCACAACTGTGAATGGGTACATTTCTGTACTTGAAGCCACCAGGATTGTTTGTTTGTTTGTTTTGTCATTTGTTAGGTCACCATGTTAAGACACAATGAGACCCCCTGACTCCAAAATGCATCCTGAATCTAATAGCTTCTTTCCCCTTCAGCTGACCCTGCTCAAACCCAGACCACTGTCACTACTGGCATAGACAGTGCCCTCTCTGGTCTCCCCGCTGTCCCCCTGGCCCTGACACTCTCACCAAGCACAGCATTTGGTCAAAGGAACCTTTTTAAAAAATGGAAACCAAACCAGATCATTCCTCCACAGGCAACCTCCCCACAGCCTCCATGGGCCTTGGAATACAAACCAAACTCCTCACGGAGATGGTTTTGCCTCTGCTTCCTCACCTCCCTCACCTTCTCCCAATCTCTCTCCATCATCTAGGTGGTCTTCTTGTTGGGCCCCTTGTTGTTGTTGTTAGGTGCCATCGAGTCGGTACCGACTCATAGCGACCTTATGCACAGCAGAACGAAACACTGCCCGATCCTGGGCCAACCTCAC